CCATGTTTGTATACCATGTTGGACATGTTTGGACACCATGTTGGACATGTTTGGACACCATGTTTGGACACCATGTTGAACATGTTTGGACACCATGTTGAACATGTTGGGACACCATGTTTGGACACAATGTTGGACATGTTGGGACACCATGTTTGTACACCATGTTGGACATGTTTGGACACCATGTTGGACATGTTTGGACACCATGTTTGGACATGTTGGGACACCATGTTGGACATGTTGGGACACCATGTTTGGACACCATGTTGGACATGTTTGGACACCATGTTGAACATGTTTGGACACCATGTTGGACATGTTGGGACACCATGTTTGGACACCATGTTGGACGTGTTTGGACACCATGTTGGGCATGTTGGGACACCATGTTTGGACACCATGTTTGGACATGTTGGAACACCATGTTGGACATGTTGGGACACCATGTTTGTACACCATGTTGGACATTTTTGGACACCATGTTGGATACCATGTTGGACATGTTTGGATACCATGTTTGGACATGTTGGGACACCATGTTGGGACATGTTTGGACACCATTTTGGACATGTTGGGACACCATGTTGGACATGTTGGGACACCATGTTTGGACATGTTGGGACACCATGTTGGACATGTTGGGACACCATGTTTGTACACCATGTTGGACATGTTTGGACACCATGTTTGGACATGTTGGGACACCATGTTGGACATGTTGGGACACCATGTTTGTATACCATGTTGGACATGGTGTCCAGCATTGTGTCCAACATGTTGGACATGTTGGGATACCATGTTGGGACATGTTTGGACACAATTTTGGACATGTTGGAACACCATGTTGGCCAAGTTTGGACACCATGTTTGGAGATGTTGGGACACCATGTTGGACATGTTGGGACACCATGTTTGGACATGTTGGGACACTATATTTGACATGTTGGGACACCATGTTTGTACACCAAGTTGGACATGTTTGGACACCATGTTTGGACATGTTGGGACACTTTGTTGGACATGTTGGGACACCATGTTTGTATACCATGTTGGACATGGTGTCCAACATTGTGTCCAACATGTTGGACATGTTGGGATACCATGTTGGGACACCATGTTTGGACATGTTGGGACATCATGTTGGGACATGTTTGGACACCATTTTGGACATGTTGGGACACCATGTTGGACAAGTTTGGACACCATGTTGGACATGTTGGGACATTATGTTGGGACATGTTAGACATATTTGTACACCATGTTGGACATGTTGGGACACCATGTTGGACATATTTGGACACATGTTGGGACACTATGTTGGAATACCATGTTTGGACATGTTGGGACAGCATGTTTGGACACCATGTTGGACATGTTGGGTTTGGACACCTTGTTGGGACACCATGTTGGACATGTTGGGACACATGTTGGACACGTTGGGACACTATGCTGTAATACCATGTTTGGACATGTTGGGACACCATGTTGGACATGGTGGGACACCATGTTGGGACACCATGTTGGACATGTTGGGACACATGTTGGACACGTTGGGACACTATGTTGTAATACCATGTTTGGACATGTTGGGACACCATGTTGGACATGGTGGGACACTATGTTGGAATACCATGTTTGGACATGTTGGACATGTTTGGACACCATTTTGGGACATCATGTTGGACATGTTGGGACACCATGTTGGACATGTGTTGGTTGTGTGAACACTTCCTGTTTATGTGAAGTCTGACCTTCTTCTCTGGTTTCCAGGTTGTTCAGCGTGGTCCTGGAGACGATGACTCATAAGACGGACGGCGAGCAYGCGACCACCCATCACATGCCAGGGAAACCAGGAGGTCTTGATGTCAAAGCTCTCAGAGCCTTCAGAGTGTTGCGACCCCTCAGATTGGTTTCTGGAGTCCCCAGTGAGTTTGCAGGTCTAGAAGGTGACTTGGAAGTTGTGAGTGGTTGTGTACGCGCTCAGCTGTGTGTGTCCATCAGGTCTGCAGATCGTACTGAACTCCATCATGAAGGCCATGGTTCCTCTGCTCCACATTGCCCTGCTGGTCCTCTTCGTCATCATCATCTACGCCATCATCGGCCTGGAGCTCTTCATCGGACGCATGCACCGCACCTGCTACTACATCGGAACAGGTACTGTCTCACACCTGGACCATTGTTACGTCACACCTGGACAAAGATCTTCATGACCATGAAGATCTGGAATGTGGCTTGTAGAGTCCAGATGTTCCACATGTTGTTCAGAATTCAAACAGTCCAAGGCTGGTGAAGGTCAGATAAAACCTTCTGGTGTTCCAGGATCTGGATCAGGTCACGTTTTTAATTTGGACTTTGTCTGGTCCACACTCTGATGTTTTACTGAAATTAGACTGGTTCAAAGAGTTCTTCTGGTCCTGGAGAGGTCCAGAGTCCGAACAAAACCATCCAACATCCATCATCCATCCACCATCCATCCATCATCCATCATCCATCCATCATCCATCCATCATCCATCATCCATCATCCATCCATCATCCATCCATCATCCATCCATCATCCATCATCCATCCATCATCCATCATCCATCCATCCATCATCCATCCATCCATCCATCCATCATCCATCATCCATCCATCATCCATCATCCATCCATCCATCATCCATCCATCCATATCACAGTGAGGGTCAGGGTACCTTGGACAGGTCACAAGT